CCTGTGCATGGGGTACTTAAAGAAACCAAACAATATTTTCTCGTAACAAAGAGAGAACTCAGAAAAGATAAAGGAAACAACAAAAACACAAAATTCTTGCCAGAAAAGATTTTGATGGCTGGAAGTATCATTTACTTACTTAGACTTATTCGTCACGATCACATGACTCTGGTCTTGCAGGGAGAACAACGCGTCCTCCGGAGATGCGAGGGGCGCTCTTGTTTCTGTCAGAGAACGGAAGTGAGCTACACTCAGTAAGCTTGGGTTACGGCAGCTTCTGCAACCTGTGTCAAACCATTCTTCTGTCAAGTGATGACCATGTGACAGCAATTAAACTTCCGTTAAAATTGTTTCCTGTGAAAATAAAAGCACTGAAAACGCAAACAAACGACTACCATTCAAGAAATAGTTTTATAAGTGTACTTTATTTTCTTTTATATATGTATTTTCTTCCCATCACTACCCATCCGTAAAACGTTGGGGTTTTTTGGTATAGCTTACTCATTTGATTCAACTTATTGTTGTTTGTTCAAAAATATCATATAAATCGTTTTTGAATGAAATATATCATTATAATGTAATTTATTACTATAGAATACTTGGCATGACTCAGTCCCTGCGATCAACATAATACTTGTAATTGTTTATACTTGTAACATGAAAAAAATGCACTTTTCGTTTTTTAAGAGCTAATTACTTAAAAAAAATAAATAAAAGAAAATGAAAAAATAAAATAAAAATGTAATAACCCTTATTTTGAAATTATCCATACCGGAACGTGAAAGAATGTTACTGCGGGACAAGTTTGCTCGGAACTAAACGCCACAGTTAGCTATTAATTTGCTCTTAAAATATGTTTCTTTAGAGCACGTGTGTATAAATTCAGATAATTTGAAAGAAAAAGATTGAACTATTTGAAGAAACCTGTGGAAAAATAAGTACTTGCAGTAGAATTTATGTTAAAAGTTGGAACCGGTGTAACGAGGATTTGTGTCGAATAGACGAAAGATGATCTAAGGTAGGGAAACGTCTGCTTATTTCACGATACGTTTCCAGAATTAAAATAATGTCGGTTTACCTTTGCGCATGTGCGCGCCACAAGAGCAGGCCTAGATATGAGACTACGTTTTTTATTACAAACCTCTCGGCATTTACTTTTTATTTTTTTATTTTTGTACTTGTCAGTGAACTAATTGATTAACAGTAACTAAATGTTAATTGCTTGTTTTAAATAAACCACCGCCAAAAAGCCAAAGTGAGTCAACACATTATTGACAGAATAGCAGTTATTTAATCATAAGCACCAAGACAGAGAGAAAAATCATATTTAGCTCATAATTGACAGACCATTGTGAACTTGCCAATTAAATTTACAGTATTTAATGAAACATTTTAACTTACTAATGTTCAGTATGTATTGTACCTGCATTTTCTTGGATATCATTTATTACAACAAAACGTTATCATGTACTCATATTTTCCTATAGTGATGTCTTTAATTGACTTCTTCTGTCCAAAATACAGACCAAAAATTGATTTAAAATTTGTCATCACAGAAGGCAAAGCTTGTAATTGCAATAATATTTTGTGATTGTTAAAGTTTTAAATCACCTTTCTTAACTTCTCTGTCCTTGTTTCCCACTTTTCCACCTGCAGATGCCCTCTTATGCCTTTCTGGATTGTTTGGAGCATTATTTACTGACAGGAAAGTTTCAAGTAAATACATCAAAAAGCTGGAAAAAGCTGGTCTCTAAAGATAGCAAAAAGTTTACTTACAAAGGTACAGTAGATGTTACACACACAAAAACAGTTCTCAATGTTTGGCAGTATCAAACAAAATGTTTGTATGGTGTTAAAGAGACATTAATTGAAGTTTAGCCAGCGCTGTGACCCTGTGCTCAGTTTGGTGTAATACCTATATTGACCACAAGATGGTGCTTTGTTGCGAGAACTACTACTACTACTGTTGTGACTAAAATTTATATATAATTCATTGTGCTACATTTAGGTGGAAGTAAAATTTCTGATATGTTTCTAGATCATTTCATTTTAAGTTGAAATTTTGAATAGCTAATTAAATATTAAAATGTATGGATTGAAAACCATCGAACCATTGCCACAAAAGTTGTTCCAGTAACTTCACATCTTCAGAATCTATGAATTACCCAATGTTCATACACCCATGAACATTTTGCAGATCACCTGGATAATGCATGAGAGAAAGCACTGCACTGAATATAGCCTTTCAGTCACTTATTAGGAATGTTGCTGAATGCTCAAACCTCCAGATGGCTGTTTGTGGCGGTCTTATCGAGGCCGCCTCCTCCGTGTCGTTAGGAGTGACGAGGAAATACGTGAGATCCTGACACAATACCACAATAACAACAACCATGCGCGCCGGGAACGGGCAGTAAGGGAAATAATGGTGAGTTTAAATGAGGTGTGTTCTTTAAGTCACCAAAATGGTTCAAATTAAGGCTATTCATAGAAAAGTGTTTAAAATCTTGATGTCCATCCAGCTGATGTATTACTGGGTTGGAGTGACTGCGGCCGTGAAGAAATGGATAAAGGCTTGTGACGTTTGCCAGAGTCAACCTACTAAAGAGCTAGCTAATCTGCGCGTCCAGTTTTGCCTGGTTTATGGTTGTGATTCCTCCAGTTACATACACCCTGAGATCACCTTCCACAGGTCAGGTTTACATGTTTTTTTTTAATTTGTTTGTTTGTTTTAAGTTAAAAACAACAAAAAAGCCTTTCTTTTTTTTTTTTGGTAAAGTTTGTTCTACTATCAGCCAAAGATATTGTGTTCTTGATGCTTGGTGTTACACACTGGGCTCAATTGTCTCAGATCTAAAACAAAAAAATTGTATTTTGCACAAAGAATGATTGAATAACTAAAACAGAATTTACCATTTATGTTGTAATAATATGTGAATGACAGGTTGCCATAATTTGCCGTAATTTGTAATTTGTGTTATGTGTGTATAAACTGACAAATAAGAACTTTTTCCAGTCAATACACATTTTAAAGATATGAAGTTGTGAGAGAGATCTAGAGATAAAGTCAGCCAGAAGAGGTCAGATTTCAGGCAGTTCTTTAAAAATAAACAAATGAATTTCATATGTAATGTTTTAACCGCGGGGAGGATTTTAATTTCCCAAGAGACATGGTATTAAGCATGCTAAGAAAATAACTGATTTGTTTGGCACTTTTTAAATTACAAGCAGAGATAGCAGAGGGCTAATAAAGCTTATGGGGGCTTTGGAGTTGAACCATTTTGAGCTATGAGCCACCCAGGATTTCACTTTGATTCAGCTGAAGACAAAGTATTGTTGGAACACAATATTGTTGTATTTTCCAGAGTGCATTTACTTAGAATTATAGTGGACCTTAAATGGAGCCTTGTGGTACACCACAGGCAGACTTGGCTTTTGTTCAGCTTTCTCTGTAAGTTCTCCAAAGCAAAACTGGCCTTTGTGCATCTGCAGGTTTCCAAAGGACCCCGAGCAGCGGCAGAAATGGCTGACAGTTGCGCAGAGGGATGAAGGCTCGCTGCGCTCAAACTCCTACATCTGCTCCCAACACTTTGACCCATCCTGCTATACTCTGAATGAGGATGGTCAGCCGACACTATCATCAGATGCTGTACCCAGCATCATGCCCGATGAGGAGGTGACACAAAAGACTGAGAGCACATTAAAAACCTGTCAAATGTAATTAGCAAGTCTGTGGATTTACTTTTGGTTTTTTTTTTACTCACTTCATTCTTCTTAGTGTTTAGACCTGCATATTTACTCATTTCATTACAAAATTTGCAGTGCTTTCTGAAACTTTAACAGAATTAGGCAATAGTGCTTTTTTCCCCATCCAGTCCTGCAGAGGCGTACTAAGAGTGTGGACTTGAGTTAATTCTCAGAGCTGATCAGGTAAACCTATGTGCCTTTCAGGTGCCCATTCCTTCAGATGAGGAAGTCCTGCTTTCCAACACGCTGGAAGACCTCATCTCTGCAGCTGCTGCTAATACCGAAACCGAAAAGCCCCCTCATCCAGCCACCGATCAGTCGGAAACCCCTATGGAGCTGCAGGAACACCAGTACTGCTCGTCAGCTCCAGACTCCACCGCAGTCCAGACAGTGAAGGAGCACACAAGGAGGAAGACTGTCATTGAGCCAACTTTCACCACGTACAACCATATCGCCAGGTATGTGTTTGATGACACGAAAACTTCACACCCATGTGGCGCATGTTCGTTTAAATTAGCATGTTTTCTTTTGCATACTTTAGATATCTGAGCCACAGGATTTTACCAACGCAAAGCAAGAAAAATAGAAGTGCCTTAAAAAGGATGGCCAAGCGCTTTGGCCTAATAGGTCAGTGGAAAAAGTTTTAAACACAACAAGCAATACTCATTTTTATTTGACTGCTTCAGTGCTCTAAAGCAGCGGTCCCCAACCCCCGGGCCTCGGACCGGTACCGGTCCGTGAGTCGTTTGGTACCGGACCGCGAGAGTTGAGGCTCAGGTGTGAAATGTATAGTTTTCAGGGTTTTTATCGGTTTTCAGCGTTATTTTGTTATCGTTTTTATCGTTTATTGTCGTTTTCCTGGGTCTTTTCACGTGTGTTATGAATAAATTTTCTTTTTTTTTGGTACCGGTACTAATTTTATTGTGTTGTATTTATCCGCGACACCTTAAAGGCCGGTCCGTGAAAATATTGTCGGGCATAAACCGGTCCGTGGCGCAAAAAAGGTTGGGGACCGCTGCTCTAAAGGAACACATTAAAGCATTTATAAAGGTGCTGAAATGTTCATAGTCAAACTTTAGAAATATGTCTTTTCTTTTTAAGATGGAGTGCTGATGTACACACGGGCTTCTCGACCTCTCAGAGTGCCACGCAGCAGAGAGGAGGTAATTGCTAGCTTACAGATTTCAAATGAAGACCTTTTGTGCCGGTGGTCAGCGGAGGAAACACTTTGTTTTATGACAGTTTACGCCTTATTATAACACATCTGGACGTGTTAATTTCAGAGACTAAACACAACCGGTTAAAACCATCAACTAATCTGTATCTTTACATCACTGAGGATAATGGCATCTTAAAACTCTTTAAAAAATACTTTAAGGAGAAGAGATTTTCACTTTAAGTACAGGTTATATTCTTTATTTAGTTCTTGCAGAAGCTAACAACAATGAAAATGTGTTCAGCAGTTATAAATGGAATCAAACAAAACAATCAGCCCTTAATTTCATCTGACCCTCATCAGTTCATCTGCTGCTCTTCTCATGACCCTCTGAGATTGTGTGAGCTGGCAGGTCCCCGTCCGACTCATAGTCAGACCACATCAGGATCCACTTCAGTTTGCGTTGAGAACGCCATCATCTACCTGCTCAATCGTGTCTACACCCATCCGGAATAGCCGGCGAGCACTGTGAGGGTCATGTTTTTGAACTTTTCCAGTGCATTCAACCCCATGAGGCCAAACCTCCTGGGTGACAAGCTGACAATGATGCAGGCGGATGCTTCTCAGGCAGATGTTGTCCAGGATAAAGACAATGCTGGACAATACCTCCCACCCACTCCATGACGTGCTGGCTAGTCACAGGAACACATTCAGTGAGAGACTGAGATTACCAAAGAGGCACCACTGAACGACACAGGAAATCATTCCTGCCTGTGGCCATCTCCCTGTACAACTCCTCCATCTAATACACTGTAAACACTGCAACAGTTGCACCCTTTTTGCACATGTTCTTTTCTACTCTGTAATATTCTTGTGAGTTATTGATATTTATTTATAATGATCTCTGTTAATTCTTGATATTTATAATTGAGTGATTTGTATATATTAGCGCTATCTTTTTAAATTAGTAAAATCTGTAACATATTGTATTGTTTAAATGGCTTAGTCTGTTACTGTTACTGCCTTGGAGAAACCGTAACCCACATAATTTCCTTAGGGATTAATAAAGTATTCTGATTCTGTATGGGCCACTTGGCTCTGTCACCTTGGCACCTGGAGCACTACACCAATGTCCTTTTTGCAATGAGCATTAAGGTGTCTTCGTGTTGTTGGAGGAAGCCTCCTAAGAGCTCCAAACTCCAGGATTTTTTAAATACTGTTAACATCTCTTTCCTCAGCCCATGCCTCAACTATTACTCAGACTGACATTGCATGATCACATAAGTCTTATGTGATCTGTAATTTGCACAATGGTCTTACAAATACTATTAAATATCCAACCATGCTTTGCTAACCAACTGTGCTTCCTTTTGATCCCAGGTAAACTCAATCCTGCGAGAGTTTCATGACAGCAAGGGCCACTATGGTCAGGGGGTCTGCCAGCAAGAAATTTCAAAGCACTTCCACTGGGGCAGCATGACTCGAGACCTGGCTAGTTGGATCGCCAACTGCCAAACCTGCCTTAACAGAACCAAGAGGAAGTGGATGCGCTGCAGTGTTCTTGGGTGCACAAACTGCTGTGGACCAGTAGAGAGACGCCTGGGCCTCACCTTCCACAAGTATGAATCGTTTTTTCTTGATTGTTTGCTGCTTATGCTACGAAAGTAAACAGAGAAACACAGAATTAATTAATGAAAAAATAATGAAAAATAATAGTCCTAAAACCTTTAGGACTTCTGTGATAAAACATACTGTGTTTGCTCCTGTTCTGGTGAGAGTTTAGTGTGCAGATTATGCTTTATTTTTGCTTATTTCTGTTATTTTATCATGAATGTGATGTCACAGAGGCAGATGTTATCCCTCTAAGTTAAAAGATCAGGCTTTTAAGCTAACTGCTGCGTTAGCAATGTTTTTATTTCATACTTATATGTTGAGCTGTTTTTTTAAATAGGTTTATCTGGTGCAGATAAAGTACATGCACAAAGTATACAGAGTTTTGCTTATGTTTATACCAAGTGCATTTGGAAGGTGGTCGATCAGAAAATTAAACTGGGTTTTAGAGAGGTTGTTATTGATAAGCTGCTGCTTTTGTTTTAGCTATAAGATGAACCTGCTCTGAGCCAGAATAAGATAATATAGTTTGT